AAGGGGAATGAGGAGGAGGAGGAGGAGGCGGAGGAGGAGGAGGCGGAGGAAGGGGATCGTGAGGATGATGATGATGATAATGATGGCAATGCTGATGCTGCTCATGATGATGGTGATGCTGCGGCTGTCGCTCATGATAATGACGATGATGCTGATGATCTTGATGCTGATGATGATGATGACGCGGCTGCTGCTGATGATGCTGCTGACGATGGTGAGGATGTTGCTGCTGATGCTGATGATGATGATGATGATGATGCTGATGTTGATGCGGGTGCTGATGATGATTATGTTGATGCTGATGCTGATGATGATGCCGCTCATTCTGATTAGGATGATGCTGATGATGGTGATGATGCCGCGGATGCTGATTCTGATGACAAGGCTAACGATTACGCTGACGGTGCGGCTGATGCTGACGATGCTGATGCTGATGATGATGACGATGATGCTGATGCTGATGATGCTGATGAAACTGATGATGATGATGCTGATGACGCTGGTGATGCTGATTGTGATGATGCTGCTGACGCTGATGAGGATGCTGATGATAAGGCTGATCAGATGCTGGTGCTGCGGCTGCTGATGACGATGATGCTGACGCTGATGGTGATGATGATGCTGATGATGACGATGCTGATGATAATGATGATGACGGCGATGATGCTGATGATGATGTTGTTGACGAGGATTATCATGATGATGCTGATGACGATGCTGATGCTGATGATGCAGATGACGATGTTGATGATACTGCTGATGATGATACTGACGATGCTGCTGATGATGAGGATGCTGATGCTGCTGATGTTGCTGCTGATGCTGAAGATGCTGATGCTGATGCTGATGATGCTGATGATGATGATGATGTGAAGATGATGACGACGATGATGATGCTGATGCTTCTGCTGCTGATCATCATGATGACCATGATGCTGCTGATTCTGATTCGGATGATGATGATGCTGATGATACTGCTTCTGTTGATGATGATCTTGATGACGATGATACTGATTACGCTGATGATGCGGATGCTGCTGACGATGATGCTGCTGATGATGACGCTGATGCTGATGATGATGATGCTGGCGATGATGATCATTATGCTCATGCTGGTGATCCTGTTGACGATGCTGATGATGCTAATGCTGATGTTGATGCTGATGCTGATGCCGCTGCTGCGGATGATGATGATGATGATGATGATGATGATGATGATGATGATGATGATGTTGACACTGATGCTGATGATGATGGTGGCGATGCTGATGATAATGGTGATGACGACGATGATGCTGATGCTGATGATTTTGCTGATGATCAGGATGATGATGATGATGATGATGATGATGATGATGATGATGCTGATGCAGATGACGATGTTGATGATGATGTTGCTGATGATGATGCTGATGCTGATGATGCTGATGATGATGATGATGTTGTTGAGGCTGGCGCTGATACTGATGCTGAAGATGCTGATGCTGATGCTGATGCTGATGATGATGATGATGCTGACGATGATGATGCTGCTGATGATGACGATGACGATGCTGATGACCATGTTCTCCAACTAGGCCTGCCCTATATGGGGTCCTAGCTCATCCTAAGTATTTGGTCTCTAGGACCCCCGCCCCTTTCTCCAATGACACTCCCCCTTATTTCCCCCCTGAGGTATGCTTTCTTGCTTGCTTGCTTGCGCGCTTGCACGCTTGCTTGCTTGCTTGCGCGCTTGCTTGTACGCTTGCTTGCTTGCTGAGTTGTGGATTCCAAGTATGCTCGATTCCTCTGGTTTCTTGATTTGAGTCGTCTAGTCTATTTGGAGCCAACGCTGGCTGAGGTTTGATGATGACGATGGAAAGGATGATGATGATGCTGATAGTGCTGCCGATAATGATGATGATGATGCTGAGGATGATGATGATGATGATGCTAGTGATGCTGCTGCTGCTGATGAGGATGCTGATGCTGCGGCGGCTGATGATGATGCGGCGGATGCTTATTGTTATTGTTATTGTTATTGTTATTACTGCCATTATTATTATTATTCTTTTAGTATTATTATTATTGTTATCATTATCGTTAACATTATTACCATTATCATCATTGCCATCATTACCATTCTCATCATTAGTAGTACGTTTGCTGTTTTTATTGTTAGCATTGTTATTATTATTAGAACTCAGATCATTACTGTTAGTATCTTTTTTTTCATGTTCATTACTGCTCTCATTCTGATCATTATCAAACATTTCCATACCACCATCAGTAGTATTTTTGTTAGCATTATTACTATTACTTTTTTTTAAAAGTCTTTTCAGTCTTATCATTTGTATTAGGTGTATTTTCCTAGTCGTAGATTATGTTTATGACGGTGATGAGGTGGATCTGAGGAGGATAAGGAGGATGAGGAGGATAAGGAGGATGATGAGGAGGAGGAGGATGGCGGAGGAAGGAGCAGGGACTAGGGACCAAGGAGGAAGGCGGAGGAAAGAGGGAGGAGGATGAGGAGGAGGAGGAGGAGGAGGAGGAGGAGGGGAGGACGATGACGAGGAGGATGACGAGCAGGAGGAGGATGACGAGCAGGAGGAGGAGGAGGAGGGGGAGGATGAGGATGAGGAGGAGGAGGAGGAGGAGGAGGAGGAGGACGTGGAGGAGGAGGAGGAGGAGAAGGAGGAGGAGGAGGAGGAGGATGAGGAGGAGGAGAGGAGAAGAATGAGGAGGCGGAGGAGGAGGAGGAGGAGGAGGATGGGGCTGAGGAGGAGGAGGATGAGGAGGAGGAGGAGGTTGAGGAGGAGGAGGGATGAGGAGGAAGAGGTATGATGAGGAGGATGCGGTGGATGAGGAGGAGGAGAAGTAGGAGGAGGAGGAGGACGAGGCTGAGGAGGAGGACGAGGAGGGGGATGATGAGGATGGGGATGATGCGGATGAGGAGAAGGGGGGTGAAGAGCAGGATGCTGCTAATGATGATGATGCTGATGATGATGCTGCTGCTGATGCTGATGATGATGTTCATGAGGATGACGATGATGATGATCATGAGGATGCTGTTGATGAAGATGATGATGAGGATGCTGATTAGGACGATGATGATTCTGATGCTATCGATGCTGATGACGATGATGATGTATCTGATGCTGATGGCGATGCTGGTGCTGCTGACGATGGTGATGCTTCTGATCATGATGCTGATGATGATGCTGATGTTGATGATGCTGCTGATGCTGATGATGAGGATGGTAGTGATGATGCTGATGATGCTGATGCTGATGATGATGGTGCTGAGGCTGATGCTGCTGATGATGATGCGGATGCTGATGCTGCTAACGATGCTTTTGCTGCTGCTGATGATGCTGGTGAAGAGCAGGATGCTGCTAAGTATGATGCTGATGATGATGATGCTGCTGATGCTGATGATGAGGATGGTAGTGATGATGCTGATGATGCTGATGCTGATGATGATGGTGCTAATGCTGATGCTGCTGATGATGATGCGGATGCTGATGCTGCTAACGATGTTTTTGCTGCTGCTGCTGATGATGCTGATGCTGACGTTGCTGCTGTTTATGGTGATGGTGCTGCTGATAATGATGATAATGCTGATGCTGATGATGCTGATGATGATGCTGCTGCTGACGATGCTGATTTTTGTGATCATGTTGCTGATGATGCTGACGATGTTGCTGATGATGATGCTGATGATGCTGATGATGTTGATGATGTTGCTGCTGATGCTGCTAATTATGATGCTGATGAACATGGTAACGCTGACGACGATGCTGACAATGACGATGCTGATGATGATGGTATTTATTATGATGTTGATGATGATGATGATGCTGATGATGATGCTGATGATGATGATGATGATGCTGATGCTGATGCTGATGCTGATGATGATGATGATGATGATGACGATGATGATGATGATGATGATGATGATGATGATGATGATGATGATGATTAGGTGGATGATGCGAATGATGATGATGCTGCTGATGATGATGTTGTTGTTGTTGTTAATGATGATGCTGATGCTGATGCTGCTTATGACTATAATAATGATGATGATGATGATGATGATGATGATGATGATGATGATGATGATGATGATGATGATGATGATGATGATGATGATGATGATGATGATGATGATGATGATGATGATGATGATGAGATGATGATGATGATGATGATGATGATGATGATGATGATGATGATGATGATGATGATGATGATGATGATGATGATGATGATGATGATGCTGTTGTTGTTGTTGTTGTTGTTGTTGTTGTTGTTGGTGTTGTTATTGTTGCTGGCGGTGGTGGTAATTCAATGATGACGGCGATGAGGTGGAGGAGGAGGAGGAGGAGGAGGAGGAGGAGGAGGAGGAGGAGGAGGAGGAGGAGGAGGGTGAGGAGGAGGAGGAGGAGGAGGAGGAGGTGGAGGAGGAGGAGGCGGGGCTGAGGAGGAGGGATAATAGTAATGATACGAATAAGAAGAAGAAACCACATACTAATAAAACTGCAAATGATAAAACACATTTAATGATAAGGAGAGGGAGGATGGAGGATGGAGGAGGGAGGAGGGAAGAGGGATGAGGTTGGAGGGAGAAGTGAGGAGGGAGGAGAAATACTGTATATGAGGAGGAGGCGGAGGAGAAGGCGGAGGGGGAGGAGGAGGAGGAAGAGGAGGAGGAGGAAGAAGTGCGAGGAGGAGGATGGAGGAGGGAGGAGGGAAAATGGAGAAGGTTGGAGGGAGAAGTGAGAAGGGAGGAGGATGATAATGAGGATGAGGAGGAGGAGGTGGAGGAGGAGGAGGATGAGGAGGAAGAGGGAGGGTGGAGGAAGGAGGAGGGAGGAGGGAGGAGGGAGTAGGTTGGAGGGAGAAGTTAGAAGGGGGGAGGATGAGGATCATGAGGATCAGGAGGAGGAGGAGGCGGAGGAGGAGGAGGAGAGGGGCGAACCTGCTCGCGACACGAGGGCGGACGTGCGCTCCAG